GTTCAGTTGGCCTGGCCTACCTAGGTTTTGGGACTCCGGTGTTTTCTTTTCTGTGGGAAACAGATCCAAATGGCTCTTTGAGGGCTTAAGGTTGCAGTGTTATGTGAGCAAAGGTAAGGATTTAAATGGGACCATTTTACTCTAGCCATTACTACAGGATATTATTCTAAAATAAATTTTTATCGAGATCTATAAAACTAGGAAGGACTTTATAAAGCATTTTAACCCAAATCAGGTTATAATTACATTTTTGTGTCCAGCTTGATATTGCATAGCTGGAAACAAAATGAAGAAATATCTTAGCTGAAAGTAAGAGCATTAATCAACAGGGTAATCATACAGATATATGAATTCTGTGCTGCAGCTGGATGAATCATCTTTATAAAAAGCCTATTCCAGAAAACCTGTTTCATAAAAGAAAAGAAAATGAAATATTTAGCATGCCTTTTAAGCAAGCTACAATGGGAAGCAATTGCCTGTATTGGTGTGCAAGGCCTGTCAATTGGATCAGGTTGTCATTATAGCTATAAGCAGAGCCCTTATTCTTGTGCACTTATTCATAACATAGCAGATCTGTGTTGGGACTGTCTGCAAATATCCATTGGATCAGGGTCCAGATTGCTCTGTATAGAAGAAATTATTATTTTAAAAAACTATTTCTATAAAAAAAATAGATATTTTGTTTCTTCTAAAAGCCAAGCCATCATAAATTACTATGCTAATTTCAAGGACTTCAATAAAGTCAGGAAAAAGTAAACTTGATTTTAAGCCCATTTAGAAAATGAATGTCATTTATACTGGTTAGGTAGCCATCTAGGTTTGGTGGACTTATGGTTTTATTGTGAATGTAAGACAGCAATTAGAATATAAAAGGTCTTTGTTCTTCCTCCTTTTTGTTGTTATTGTTTGTTCCACTTGGTTGTAGCACCTGCTAGTTGTGCACTGAGACTGCTTAGCAAAACCTATTGATCATGATAGGACAAGAGGTGTTATTTTTCACCTAGCTTTTTGCAGATGTGGCTACTGATTGGGGCTGAGAGGGAATGATTGACTGTCCCAATGATCACTCCAGTTAGCTTTGGTGCCTAAGGAAGGGCTAGAACCTGGTTCTTTGTGTTCCTAATTCAACACCCTAACCCACAGGTGTGAAACTCAATCGCATCACATGATGTATCATGACTTTTTTTGCCTTAGTGGAGCTGGAGCGGGTGTGGTCTATGCGTGATGCATCCAGCCCACAGGCCGCCATTTTGACACCCCTGCCCTAACCATTGTACGTAGTCCTTGACCACAATTGGGACCAGAATTTCTTTTGCTAAGTAAAGCTGTTAGTAAGTGAATTGTGCCTGATTTTACAATCTTCTTTTCATGGTTGTTAAGTAAATCACTGCGATAGTTTAATGAATCACATGGTTGATAAGTAAATCCAGCTTCTTCCACTGACTTTGCTTGGCAGAAGCTGGATGGGAAGGTCACAAATGATGGTCACATGACTAGAGGACACTGCAATGATTGCAAATACATGCTGATTGCCAAGTGCTCAAATTTTGACCACGTGACCGTGGGGAAGCTTGCAATGGTTCTAAGTGTGAAAAAACA